AGAGATAGAGAGTGAGAGAGAGAAAAGGGCAAGGAAAGCATAAAAGAACGTAAAAAATCAATTTGAGTTTTCGATTGAAAATTCCAAAGTAAAATCGTTTGTTCGGTTCTCTCTCTCTCTCTCTCTCTCTTTTTTTTTCTTTCTCCTTTTCGAAATTGATTTTGAAGTATAAACAAAAAAAAAAAAAAAAAGTAAAATGGCTTCGGGGTTAAAAAAAAAAAAAAAAAAAAAAAATTCTCCCTTGCGATAGAGAAATTGGACGTGACTAAAAGCAGAAGAAATAATGGATGGATTTGTATGGATGGATGGATGGATGGGGGATGTAAATCCCCAGGTGGGATTCGCATGGGTCGTGCATACGGTCCGCGGGTCGCGGCTCTTTGGCGTCCTTTTTTTTTTTTTTCGTTTTCGTTTTCGTTTTCGTTTTTTTTTTTTTTTTTACCCGGCCGGGATATCTCAAAATGTTCATCCCCTCTTTCCCTCCTCTTCCCCCTACACTTCCCCCTCCTCCACGAAAATCTATTTTGCATGATAATAATAAACGTTTGGGATATTTTCGTTCGACCGAACAAACAAAAAAAAAAAAAAAATTTATTACGCAGCGAATTTTGCGTTTTTTTTTTTTTTTTTTTTTTTTTTGTTCAAAAAACAACGACCCCCAACTTTTTTTTCTTTCCTACCCCATCCCACGGTTACGAACGCAAAAAAAAAAAAAAAAAAAAAAAAAAAAAATTTGTCAATTTTAATGCCGTGTCCGCCATATTTAAATGGTTAAAACATTTATTTAAGAGACTTGATGAGTTTTTCTTTTTCATTTAAATATAAAATGAATTTCGAATTTTTTTTTTTTTTTTTTTTTGAAAATAATTCGTTAAAAAGTTTTAAAAAACATAAACGTTCGAATTATAACCGTTAAAAAATTTTTAAATTATCAATCAATCAATTCGCGAACGATTCGAACGCGAAAAATTTTTTGAAAAATAACGAATATTTAATCGTATTACGTCACAGTCTACGTCACAATCGTCATCGTCGTCACTTCCGCTCCCTATCTTCGTCGTTTCGTAATGGCGCCTTAAAATTATCGTTTTTTTTTTACACGTTTTCGAAAATCGAAAGAAAAAAAAAAATTTCGAATTCGAAATTTATATATATATATAGAAAGTAAAAAAAGGAAAAAGATTTTTCGCCATTTTCTCAAGGTGATCAAATTCCATGATTAGATTTCAAAAAGGAGAATTTATTCGTAATTCCATGATGGGAAACTGTTGACCCGAGGCTTGACTCGAACTAGGACATGACAGAATCCCCTGGGTTTGGAAAACCATAGCATGGAAAAATTTTCATCCCTTTCCAAGTTAAAAAAAAATTTTCATTTTACAGTATCGGGTTCAAGACTTTGTTGTTAAATATTCTAATTCGAAAGAGAGAAGATTCGATACGGGGGAAAAAAAAAAAAAAAAACAAAGATGGCTGTTTAAGAATTTTTTTTTTTTTTTTTATTTTGGGGTAAAAAAAAAAACCTTTTTCGAATGACCGAATGTGGTAAAAGAAAGATTTTGAATCCCCCCTCCCGCGACCCCCACCCCACCCGAATTCATCGTGTCGTTGTTGTTGTTGTTGTTTGTAACGTGTAGAATTTTAAAAAAAAAAAAATACGAAGGAGGGTGGCTATGTAACTTATTCTCCTAACCCTCCCTTCTCCCTCCCTCTCTCCCTCCTCCACCCTTCTCTCTTTTCTTTTCTTTCCTTCGTTATTGTTTTTTTTATTTTTATTTTATTTTATTTTTTTTTTGCCCTTCCACCGTTTTCTTCTCAAGAGGAAGAGGGTTGTTTGAACTTTGGGGATGGTTTTTGGACTTCCTGAAATACACTTGAATGATTCGAGAGAAAGAGAAAAAGAAATAGAGAGAGAGAGAGAGAGATGGAAAAAAACGAAACGAAACAAGATTTATTATTATTATCATTACTTGATTCTGCGTGACGTTTTTTCGTTTTTTTCCATATTTGTCAATTCGTTATTATTTTAATTAATGATAATAATAATAATAATTTCGAAATATAATCGACACAGGACCCACGAAAACGTAAAAATCAAAAAAAAAAATTTAAGAAAAACGAATGAGACGAAAGTACAAAAAAAAAAAAAGTTTCTTAACTTTTCGAATTAAAAGAAAAAAAAATCATTTCCGGTTTTGCGATTCGAGAACAAAAAAAAAGTAAAGAAAAGAATTTCCGTTGAGGAGAAAAAAAAAAAAAAGTAATTTTGTAAAAGGGAATTTTTTTCCCTTTCCCTTTTCGAACGACAACGGTCGTCGAAAAACTTAAAAAAAAAAATTTTTTATGCAGAAAATGTTTGGTAGAGTAGTAGTAGTGGTGGTAGTAGTAGTAGTAGCAGGAGCGGGAGCAGTTAAAGAATCGAGATAAATCTAAGACACGGTCCTTATCCCGGAGGCTGGCTTAGGCGTACAAGATTATCTTGCAGTTGGCGGAGGGTCTTTGACAAGGGATGAGATAGATGAAGAAGGGTCGACGGTGTTTGAGGCGAGGGGGGAGAAAGAAAAGGTGGAAGGGTAGGAGGAGGATAAGAGAAGATGAAAACGACCGGGAGGGGAGGGGGACACGCGGAAGAGACCGGCGGAGCGGGGGGCGCGCGCGCGGGCAAACGGGAGGGGGGGGAAAGTAGATTTGACCACCATACCATTCTGACGTAAGGCCATCTCTTTTCTCTCTCTCTCTCTCTTTCTTTCTCTCACTCAACCCACTTCTTATTCCGTCCATTTTGATTTTACTCACCCGAATTATTTTCTCCTTCGTAGGATTTTCTAATGACCTTTCCAAAATAACTTTCTTTTTCCTTCTTCTTCTCCTTCTTTCTCTTTTTCCTTCTTCTTCTTCATCCTTTTTCTTCTTTTTCTTTTTTCTAATAGTAGCCGCTCTAACGTTTTCTAAAAAAGAAAATTTATTTTAAATTTTACCAAAAAAAAAAAGAGCAGTTATTCTCTTTTTCTCTCTTTTCTCTTTTTGTACTCTTCTTCCTTTTCTTTTTCGGAAAATAACTAAATCAGGGAAGAGTGAGAAAGAGAGAGAGAGAGAGAGAGAGAGAGAGAAATATATATATATATATATATATATATATATATATATATATATTAAGGATTTGAAATTTAGCGATATATATATTTATTACATTAGATTCCGATTTTTCTTTTTTTCTTTTCCTTTTTTCCTTTTTTCCTTTTTTTTCCTTTTTTTTTTTTTTTTTTTGGAAACCGTGAATAATCTAGTATTGATTTTCTGGAAAAGCGATGAAATTTAACGGTGCAGAATATCTAGAAAATCTAGAAAGAAGGGAAATTGGTCAAAGGGCGTCGTTTAGCAAAAGTTCGGACGGTCGTTTTTGGTGAATTATTCGAAGGAATTGAAAATGGCATAAAATAACCATTTTTCATTTGAAAAACTACTAACGAGATTTATCGATTTCCCCCTACCTCCCCTTTCCCTTCCCCCTTCATTCCCTTCGCCTCCGCTCCCGCCCCCCTCCGGGTTTTTTTCTGCTTTTCGAAAGTAAATATTATTATTATTATTCTAACTTTTCCCTCCTTATTTCCTTTAGGATAAATAAAAAAAAAATTCATTTAATTATCATCATTATTATTATCATCATCATCATCATCATCATCATTATCATTTTTCTGTCTCCCTCCCGCGAAAAAAAAAAAAATTTTTTTTAAATAATAAAAACGACGAAAACGAATCACGACGAATTTAAGCATAATGAGAGAAATTTGTCGACGTTTTGTCGTAGACGACGGATGGAGTAGAAGGAGGAGGGGGAAAGGGGAGGGAGGAAGAAGAGGAGGGGAAATAAATAATTTTTTCTCCGTCGTCATCGCGTCGCGTTTTTACGTCGTTACCGGTAAATTATTATTATCGTTAGTATTATTATTATTATTATTATTATTATTATTGTCGCCCGACCATCGAGACTATCGAACGAATGAAAAAAATTCGATTTCGAATTGTGGCAAACGTTGTTTTATTTTCGTGAGAACGAAAAGGAAAAAAAAAAAAAAAAAAAAAAAAAAAGGAAGGAGTCAGCGTTTTCGAACAAAACGAACGAACGAACGAACGCGAAAGAAGGGGGAGAGAAAAAAAAAGGGAGGGAAATAAAGGGGAGTGGGGCAGTGGGAAATCACGTGAACGCTCGCGCACGCATACACACGCACGGGGAATAAAAAAAAAAAAAAAAAAAAAACTAAGGGGGAGGGAAAATAAAAAAAAAAAAAAAGAACCGAACCGAAACGACGACGACGACGACGATGACGACGACGATGATGATGATGATGATGACGATAAAATTTCACGATCGAAACGATTTCGAAATTTATTTATTTATTTATTAAATTTTAATTATATAATTTTTTTTTTAACGGTTTTTTTTTTTTTAATTTTTTTTTTCAACGCGAGAGAGCTCTGTCTGATACGAATAAAATAATAATAATAATAATTTCACGGTGTGCGTTTTATCATCGCGAATTAAGAGATTAATTTTTTTTTTTTTGTTTTTAATCTTTCTTAATCTTATTCGAATTATAAGATTTCGCTAACGGGGATTTTTTTTTTTTTTTTTTTTTAATAAGTAAAACGACAGTGTTCGAATGGCGTCCCCATTAAAATCAAAATGAAAAAAAAAAAAAAAAAACGGTTAAAAATCACCAATTACCGTTTGATCGGCAAAATCAAATGATCACGAGCTAATTTTTAACGATTTTAACCCTTAGAGAGAGAGAGAGAGAGAGAGAGAGAGAGAGAGAAATAGATAAAGAGAGAGAGAAAGAGATAAAGACAGAGAGAAAGAGAGAGAGAGAGAGATTTTCGTTTTCGTTCGCAAACATAATAAATACTTTTTTCTCTACTAAATTTCCTAACGTTAACGTCAGACATTTTGTATGACGTCACAATGAGACATTGACAAAAAAAAAATAAAATTTTCTTAAATGATATTGGTTTCTTATCGTGATCGATACGGTACATATAATCATCTTACATTACGTTTCGTCATTTTCTCTCGCCTTTACAAAAGAAACGATATTAATTTTATTTAAAAAAAAAAAAAAATGATATTAAAAAGTCCCTTTAATAATAATAATAATAATAGTAATAATAATAATAATAATAATAATAATAATAATAATATATACAACCTGTTGATATTTTTATTTTATTTTTTATTTTCACCACCGCCGTAGGTTAATTTATTTTGTTATGCAAACAACAACAACAACAACAACAACAAACATCAACATTAACAAAAAGGGCAATAAAAACATTAACACACACACACACAACCGTAAGATTTTTCACATTATTATTTTTTTATTACTCCCATAATAATAATAATAATAATAATAATAATAATAATATAAGGGATTTTTATTGTGTACGAAAAGGGATGAATAATCTAACTAAGCTTTCTCTCTCTCACTCTCACTCACTCTCACTCTCTCTCTCACTCTCACACTCACACTCTTCCCAATTCCTTTCAATAAGAATTATTATTATTATTATATATATCGTTACACCGGAAGTTTTATTTTTTTTTTTATTACGCGTACAAGTAATTAATTTGTCGTAAATTATTTATAAATAATAATGATAATTATTATTTTTTCCCTTCCCCCCCACAGCCCGATCATTTAAATTCTCCGCAAACCGTACTTCGTCGTCAAGCGGGTCATTCATTCGAATACGCGACATTGTTGGTATCGTTTCTTATTGGATCCGGTTACGATGCTTACGTCGTTTCCGGTTATGCATCGCGAGAAATTTGTCAATTGGATCAAACGAGAGTGGAATGTCCATTTTTGACAGATGAAAAAACGGTAAGATATTTACTTTATTTAAATAAAAGAAAATTTGTCGATATCAACAACCGTCCGTCTAATTTTTTTTTTAACTCGTTCGCGCCCACCGCGTCCGTCCGCCATGTTCACCGCCATGTCACAACAGGAAGAAACAGAAGAAGAAATAGAAGAGGATAGTAAATATTTTTTAAAAAAACCAGTCGAATTAAAAAGTTTATTTTTGGAAGAAATGAAATCGCGGGAAATTCGTAAACAATTAGAAGCACAAAGACTTCAAGAACTTGCAGAACTTGAAGCTATAAAAGAATTTGAAAAACCGTGGCCGGACCCATTAGCCAGTAAGTTTAAACCCTTTAAATTTTCCCTCCTTTTTTTTTTTTGGCGAACGGAAAAGGTTCTTTTTTTTCAAAAAAAAAAAAAAAGGGAAATTTTACCCAAAAGTTTTTCAAAAAAAAACTTTATCGATTTCTTTAACGTTTTTTCAAACATTTACCCCCCACCCCACGCCCGATTCGGTTTTTCTTTTAATTTCATGATAATGATAATGATTCGTGAATATAATTTAAATAAAAACAATCAACGTTTAATTATTATTAGATAAAAATAATGATGAAATAATTTCATTTTTGTTGATTGAGCTTGGAGATTGCACGCTTGGGTCGTTGTTTTACCTTCCAAGGACATCCTCGAGCCTATTTTTATCGAAACCACGACCGGAAATGCAAAATCTTTAAACGATCCCGAATATCACGGCATCGAAAGCATATGGAATCACGAAAATTATTGGGTTTTGATTAAATTCAATGAAAAAACGACGACGTGTAAGGTAAATATACATGCAATATTACTTACAACCTGCTTTCCTCCGTTCTTTTATTATCATTATTATCATCATTTGTAAAATACCTTATTAGGATATTTCGTTTGATTTAAACAATCCAGAAATATGGGAAAGGTTGCTCATCGGCGAACCCATAAAATTTAGAAAATTTACAAAAGAGGGTCGCGATACGAATAACAACGATGATGATGATGATGATTTTAACGAGATTTGCATCAACGCTGAAAAACATTTGGACATGTCGGCTAGTTGGGTGGATCTTTTAAAACTCTCACATACCGGTAAGCCATAACTATTAATTAATCAATCGATCGATCGATCGATCGATTTTTTGTCAAAAAAAAAAAAATTTTCGCGTTATCCTCTTTCAAATTCACCGTAACGAACTCTTTAACGGTTTGTTTAAAAAAAAATTCTAAAAGAGCGACATCTATAATTTAAAAAACTAACTAAAAAGTTGAAAATTTCGAGAGAGAGCGCGCTGCAGTCGTTTTTATTTATTTATTTATTCGTTATTTAGTTTTTAGTAAAAAAAAAAAGTTTTTCCTTTTCCCCCTCCCCCCTTGTCCCCCCTTTTCCTTTTTCCTCTCTTTTTAATTATTTATTATTTTTTGTTTTTAAAAGTTTTCGAAAGGAGATTTCCGAAGGGGAAAAAAGTTGTCAACTATCGAAAAGCAATTTCCGAACAATATCCGCCATATTTAAATTCCGACGGATTGGTCGAAAGAGTCAAACGTTACAACGATTACGATTGTTCCGAACCGTTGGAAATAAGAGAAAAATACGAGAATAGACGGGATTTTCTATACTACAGTATAAGAACCATTTCCGACAATTCCGTTTTGGATAAATTTTACAAAGGACGAGAAGATGCCTTAAAAGGTTTTTAAAAAAAAAAAAAAAAAAAAAAATTTTTGCATGTGAAAAAAGTTACGTCACGTTACGTCACGTTACGTTCGTACGCGTTAAACGTTTTCATTTCAGAACATTTTTATTACTCTATGGATTCCGGAATCGAAGTCTGTTTCAAATTGAAATTTTATCACGAAGCAAGATTTGACGCTCTCTCCGAAATAATAATGGATCCCCTATTCATGATAATGCGTTTCAAAGAGAGACCGGATTTTTTACGTTACGTCCTCGTTAATTTTGCCGAAAGAACGAATCAAGCTCAACCGTTGAGAAGTATTTTAGTCAGTTAAAAAAATATTTTTCAAGTTTTGAAAAAATTCAAAATGGCGTACGCGGTTTCCTTTCCTAATACTAACTTATTATTATTATTTTTTTTTTTTTTAAAAAGAAAATAACGGAAGAATACGATAGAAATCCGGAAAAGGATGCGGATAAAGATGTCGCCGTGGCCGAATATTATTTTCCAGAAAGAAAAGTACATTTGAAATTTCACTACGAAGACGAATACATAACACAAACTCACAGAACGTTTTACAAGCCACAATTTGCCGAACGGGGAGCACTCCTCATGTTCGATCCGTCATTGACGACGGGTTATTTGACGGGACCATTGAAACCACAACCCAAACCCTTGTATTTAATAAGATTAGAAATTGAATATTTTAAACAGGAAGAAATCGCAGAGAGTAAAATACGGGAAAGGGAAAACGAAGTAAAAATGAATTTCCGGTTTTTAACGAAACGACGATGACGTCAATGTCACGTGATCGTTCGTTCGAATCAAATCGATATTTACAAATCATTTTTTTGTTTTTTTTTTTTTTTAAAGATTCTCTGCCTGTTAAGATTAAGAGCACAAGAATTAGCAGCACCCAAATTAATGGTATCAGTTTTTGATACGGAAAGAAACGAAGAAGCTAAAAAAGCATTTAAGGAAAAAGTAAAATAATGACGTAGCATTTAATAAAAAAAAAATTACGGATTCGTACTAAATCAATTTCTCTTCTCTTAATTTAGGAACAACAAATAAAAGAAATGAAAGAAAGAGAATTGGAAATGGTTTGCGATTTCTTAGCTCCCTACTATGCCAAATTACAAATCGATCCGAAAACTATACTCCCACATAAAATCGCCATAACCGTACTCAACGATTTATTAACGGATTGGAAAAATTTATTGGTTTTCAGAGCCAACGACATACAAAGACAATTCGAAAAGGTTTCCCAAACTTTTCCCCTGTTTGTTATTATCAAAAACCTCAATACAACCCCAAAAACCTTATTGAAAATTTTTTTTTTTTTTTTTTTTTGTAGACTTGTCAAGAATTCAACGAGAAAAATAATTGGTACGAACAAAATCAAAGAGCCATAACGAAAGAACAAGAAGAAGAATATTTTGATTATTGTAGAAAAAAATCATATTACTTACACACGCTGGAAGTCAGGTTATTACGTCACAAAGAATTGGCTCCGAAAAGATATGCCGCCATAAATGAATACTTGAAAAACGATCCGAGAATGGCACTCGCCTTTCGAAAATTTAAAACAAAATTATCTACTTAAAATTTATTGTTTCATTTCATTTAAAAAAATTTACACACTCTTTTTTTTAAATATATATAAATTTCATTTTATAAAAAAAAAAAAAAAAAAAATTTAATTTAACAGTCTTCACCTTTATCCGTTCTCTGTATGCATTTTCTAATCATTTTGTAATTATTTCTTCGTTCAGTAACTAAATGACCACGATCCGGATTTACCGATGCAATGACCTGAAAATAATAATAAAAAAACTATGAAATGATTTTTACGGGAAGAAAACTTTCCTTTGCAAGATATGCAGAACCGAAAGTACCATCGTCGTCAAATGTTGCCAACGTTAATTTGCTTAATTTATTACAAAGGCAAGATGGTCCCAAATCTCTTCTCGCATTTAACGGCATTTGTGCTTCGTCGTTATCACCCGTCGAAGTGTTATTACTTCCGTCCAAATCGTCCGATATCCTTTTACTTTCTTCAACGAACGTCGATATGAGCGTGTCCATCATCACAGCCTTGTTGAAAAAAAAAAAAAATGTCAACGATGTCAATAATAATAACGATAAACGAAATCGATGGTACGATGACGAAATCATACCTGTTTTGAAAAAACTTGTAAAATTTTCGATACTCTCGTACCATTTTCCAATACGATGAATTGTATGAATAAACATGGAAGACAATCCGGATTATTTTCCTGTGAGGGTTTAGCATAATCCCAAGACATATCTTTGTATTTTAATCCGAGTAAAAGAGTCTGAGAAAATTTTTACAATTAATTATTACTGATTGTTTCCACGAGAGGAAAAACTTATGGTCGTAGTAATAATAATAATAAGCTCACGCATTGAATGTGATCTATTATGTAAACACCCTGACTGTTTATGGCAATTAAAACGAGCAGATCCTGATGAGTTATGAGTGACGTCAAACCTCTGACGGGTTGTTCAACTTGTCCTTGGAAAAAAGCACTCCTGAAAACGTTCAAATAATAACAAAAGAAAATCTTTCATCTTATTTTTAAGTAAAATAAAATACGAAATGATGATGATAATAATAATAATAATACCTCACCCGTAAAATGGTAGCGTCCAACAAAAAGCCAAATATTTTTGTACTAATTTTTTAACGGGAGTCGTCGGTGGGATTTTCTTATATTGTTCCAACAAACCGACTTCCGGTGAATTTTTACCACTTATTCTAAGCCAAGACCAAGCCGTTTTTATTATGTGACCCGGTAAAAACCTTCTTTGATTTTCTCTAAAGTCGAAAACAAAACAAAAAAATTAATTTTCCTCAATTCTGTAGTCACGAGTGACGACGAAATTGAACGCATCGTACCTGAAAAATTGTATCGTGTGAATTTGAGGATTATACGGTCCCAATTCGATTTTAGCTTGAATGGCTCCCAGAGAAATGTAATGCATCATCTCGCACGGATACCTCCCTTCTAAAATATTATATTTTGATTCCTCGTATAAAAGTTCTAAAATTTTTTGATCCCTAAAAAACAAAATGGCGCACATACGTAAATACCTTTAGGACACTTTTCTCTTTCAAAATCTCTTTTCCCACATACTACATAATTACTTTATTTGTTCTTCGTCTTTTTTCAACAGGAAAACATTTCTTTGATACGAGAGCGAGGGTTCATCTCTTCTCTTACGCGAATCCGATGCGTTACTAAATCTTTCAACTAATTCAAACCATCTTTGCCTTATTTCGTAGGGTCTGTGATGAGGTTTTAACTGAAGTTCTAAAAATAATAAAATCAAATCAATTTCAACAAATCACATCACATTTGCCAAAGAACATTAAAGTACACCGTTATCCACCGACTAATCCAGAACACATCCATAATGAAAAAACATTTCCGGCACTTCTTGGCAATCCGAGTTCTTCCTCCTGTAAAATGGCTTGTATCATATCGTGAGCGGTACAATTTATACCATCTTCTAGTTCCATATGAAGTGCAATTTTCGACATTAAATAAATACAAACGTTTAATGCTGAAAAAATAAATAAAATAAATAATAATTTTCCCCCATTTTTATTTATTAACTTTTCAACATTTAACTTACGTTTATAATTTTTCCCATCTTGAACTTCCGTTCCATCCGCACTATCAATATTTTGCCTTAAATTATTTTGTTGTTCATCATCAGACGACACCTTTTAAAATTTACAAACACATTAATTTTCTTTTCAACGATACGATTGTGACGTAAACTTACAATTTTAGGGGATACATCCTGTAGTGTGACATTTCCCGGAGGATCAAATCTTTGTGAAAGAGTATACAATTGATCCTGACTGTGATATTCGGATTTTTCTCTATCACGAAGATAACTGCTACAATACAAACAAACAACAATATTAATCAACAACTAAATTACATAAATAATAATAATAATAACATACCTAAAATCTCCAGCGTATCGTCCACCCTCCACGGTAACGTAGCTCGTGCTTTCCAGCGTCATTATACAACTGGATGAACTTTCGACTAAAACTGGAACAACATTTATTTCATTTTTTATTTGTCTTGTGACATCTCCATCCTTTCCAGGATTTATCGTATTCGATAATTCCGAATTCATTTCATCGTAGTAATAAAACAATAAACAATAATAATAATAATTATTATAATAATAATAATAACAATCAAAACAATATTTTCCAAATTCGATGATCGCCACGATATAATTTCCAGGCGATCGATTTTTTCACATGCGCAATATACATTTTTTTTAAACTCACCCCCCCAAAAAATGAAACCTAATAATAATAATAATAAATTTTGTATTTTTTTTTATAGTCAAAAGCTTTTAATATATGTATATATATATAATGTCAATAAAACAATAACTTAAAATTACACAAATAATAATATTTCGATATAACTTAAATTTTTTATATATATATATATAAACAAAAACAATACAACATATAAACTATTTTTTTTTATAAATAAATAAATAAATAAATAATTGATCGATCAGTAAATGCATATTTTATTTTATGTATTTCCTTTTTTTTCCTTATTATTAATTTGTTTGTTTAATAATAAATAAGCCAATAATTATTTATTTTTAATTATTAAAAAAAAAAAAAAAAAAAAAAAATTAACAAAGTTTTCTTTTTTTTTTTTTTTTTTTTTTCCCCTAAACTTTCCCCCCGATTTTGTTTGCAACGACGATGACGACAACAACAACAACAACAACAACAACCACAACCACATAAACAATTTTCAACAATAAATAATTAATAAATAAATAAATAAATAAATATAAATAAAATTTTAATACCATCGTCATCTGAACAAATTAAATATTCAAACTTAATTTAAAATAAATAAATAAATAATAATAATAATAATAATCGTAAGTTGCAAACAAACGTTTTTAAAAAACTTTCATTTTCCCGCCATTTTTCCTTTTTTTCTAAATTAAAATTAAAACAAACAAATAAAAATAATTAATTAATTAAACAAATAAAACAAATAAAATAAATAAATAAATAAATTTTTAAAATTATTTTTGCTGTTGTTGTTCGATTCGACGACAGGTAAATAATCAGGTTGAAAAAATAATGATAATGATAATGATAATAATAATAACTTTTTACATTTTTTTTCCTTTTTTTTTATTTTTCATTTTATTTTTAAATTTTTTTATTTAAATTTTTCGTGTAATGACACCAATGAATGCAGCAAAACCTAACAACTATTTTTTTCTTTTATTTATTTATTTATTTATTTATATTATTAATTTATTTTTTTAATAATTAATTATCTTAATATCTTAATAATAATAATCATAATAATAATAATAATAATAATAATTTAATTTTTCTTAAATCATTTATTTTTAACTTTTTTTTTTTTTTTAATTTTTTAAATTTCTTAATTATCATTTCACAAGTGATAATAATAATAATATTAAAGCTTATTTATCATGTTTTTTCTTGTTTTTTTTTTTTGTTTTCTTTCTCTTAAATTTTACATTTATATATATATATATATATATATATATATATATATTTACTCATTTTAGAAACAAAAAAAAAAAAGAAACAAAAAATAAAAAAACATTTAGGCCGATTAAAATATCAAACAAGAAACAAACAAAAGAAAATTAAAATTAATAATAAAACTTTAACTCCTTAATGCCTTATTTTCATCCATTCTTTCTTTTTGACAATTATTATTATTATTATTATTATTATCATTTGTTTTTTAAAGCTCACAACAAGTAGTAGTATTAATAATAATAATAATAAAAGTAATAATAATCAATCAAAAAGCTTTCTAATAACAAATATGTTCTTTTTTTTCAAAGAGCCAACATATTTCAATAAAAAAAAAAAAAAAAGTTTGTAGTAATAAAATAAACAAACAAACAAAAATTGTAATAATAAAACAAAATGACTAGAAGAATAATCACAAATTTTAAACTAAAAGTTGAAAAACTAAAAAAACTAAAAAAAAAAAATTATAAAAAAATAATAAATAAAAGATCAATAAGATAGCATAAGAAAAAGAATAAAATATATTATTCTTTTTACAAAAAAAAAAAAAAAAATGGCACGGCATTAATGAGTTAAAATAATATTAACAAAATAATAATAATAATATTAATTACAATAATTAATTTAATTTAATTAAAATTAATTAACGTCGGTTTTCTATATTCAATGATTATTTTAAACACTCTAAAAAAAAAAAAATTTTTTTTAATGTAAATACAACTACTAAAAAAATACACGATTTGGCTTTTCTTTTCTTTTTTTTTTTGTTTTCTATTTGTTTTTTTTTTTAATAATAATAATTACTTTGGTGACGACTAGATTTAACAGAAAAAAGAAAAAGAAAAGAAAAGATGAAACAAACAAACAAACAAACAAAAAGTTACAAACAAGTAATCGAATCGATAAAATAACCGTTACGCCATGTCAACAAATGGCGGAAAATCAAAATGGCGACGTAAAATTCAATTTACATTTTAAACATCGTTTACCTTTCTTTTCTTTTCTTTTTTTAATTCACAACGATTTAAAGTTTTCTTTTTTTTTTTTTTTTAAACAAACAAAACAAGATATGTAATCACAACAAACGAAGAAAAATAATTTATAATTTAATTAATTCGAGAGAAAAAAAAAAAAAGAAAAAATAAATAGAAAAATAAAAAAAAAACTTCGTTATTAATTGCGACAAAAATTACGTCATAACATGGCGGCAAATTTTTCATTTGTTTATTATTATATGCCTGCCAATAAAATAATTTTTACATATTTTTTTTTCTTTTTTTTTTTTTACACATTTATGTTCGTTATTTGTTAACTTTATTTATTTATTTATGTACTTTTTTTTTTTTAAATAAACGACTTATTCTTTTTGTAATAATAATAATAATTTTTAAATTGCACAATATATATATATATATATATATGTATATATAATAATAATTTACAATATTAACTAATAACACATTTGATAAGTACTAACAGTTACTTAATTAATTTATTTATTTATTTACTTTAAAAGTCCAGAAAGTTTTAGCAAGTAGTAATAAGTTAGTACTAAAAGTTTTCTTTTTAAAGTATAAATAAACGCCATCATCACCAATTTTTCTATTATTATTATTATTATTATTATTATTTTTTCAATTAATCATAGCACATAGTAAATTGATAATGATGATAGTTTTTTTTATGTACATAAATATATATTTCTCATCCTCCTATCAAGAAAATATATACAGAATTTTAATGAAATTTTTTTATGGTTTTTAAAACAACAACAATTTTATATAAACAATTTTGTTGTTATTATTATTATTATTATTATTATTATGACAACGTCACTGATTTATTTTTTTATTTTTTTGTTAAATAAAACCTTTTTATCATTATTATTATTATTATTTGTTTTCAATAAGACAATCATTAAAATAAAATAAAAAATTTTCAAAACAAATCATCTAAATTTTTTTTTTTAAATAAATACTTTTTCAACACAACATTTGTTAATAATAATAATAATAATAATAATAATAATAATTTATTAATTTTCTTTAAAATTTTAAAAAATAAATAAATCAACAACAACTCCCCCCCCCCCAAAAAAAAAACAATAATAATAATAAATAATCATTTTTTTAATACTGAAAAAAATCCAATAAATAAATAAATTAATAAATAAAAAAAAATCAACCTTTTTGATTAATACTACAAAATAAATAAATAATTTATACGTACGTAAACGTAAATTATTTAAAATCAACCGAAAACAATCGTTTTATTATTATTATTATTATTATTATTATTTTTAAAACTTTACCCGCGACTTGATTGGCACGAGTTACACCATCTTTCATTACACCAGGTAAGAAAGTTAATTATTATTATTTTTTTTTTTTTTCAACCGTTGGCACCATTTGATAAATAATTGACTCGTGATATTAAAATAAAATAAAATAAAATAAAATAATTAATTAATCAACTATTAATTATCAATCAATCAGCAAAAAAAAAAAAAAAAACAGCGACACACGTTGTCTCTAAATCATTTTATAAAAATTTCATTAAAATTCTTTTACACAAAATAATTAAAAATTAATATAAATAAATAAATTAATCAATTAAAACTAATTACAATGTTTAATAAATAATAATAATAATAATTAAATGTTTCGTGCGTTTAAATTCAAAAAATAAATAAAGAAGAAAATAAATAATAAATTAAATAGAGAGAAAATTATTTCTTCTTCTTCATACATTTTTTATATATTTATTTACTTATTTATTTATTTATATATATATATATATATATATATATATATATATATATATATATATATATAACGAACAGTTTCTTTCACAATGCGAACAAAAAAAAAACATAATAATAATAAATATTGTTAATAAGAAACCGTTCCTTTCGTTATTTTAATTTTTTTTTTTTTTCAAATGGAAGCTTAGAACCGTGCATCATATCACTAATAAATTACAACGATAATAATAATAACACTCATGTAATATTTTTATATATAAATATATATATATATATATATATATATATATATATATATATATATTATCACTCAACAATATAATTAATTAATCGTTGAGCACTAATTAATAATTATTAACATACAGTATAATTTTTTCCTTTCTTTTATCCCAACATACAGGCATACATATACATATATATATTTATTTTTTTGCGCTCTTATTATTATTATTATTATTATTATTATTATTCACTTCACTCACTTCGTGAAATAAATAAATATACATACATATATATATTTAAATTTTATTATGTGTGCGTATTGTACCTTAAACTTACAATAAGAGGGGGATGATTATTTATTATTATTATTAATTTTTTTTTATTTAGTTTTTTTTTTTGTACTCTACCTTATTTTATTTTAGTTTTTTTTTTTTTTTTCAAATAGAGAAATAAGGAAGAAAATATTATAAGAAATTGATGGGGGGTTATTGTTATTGTTAAAAGTTAAAAAGAAATTTTCTTTTTTTTTGTTCGTTTTAAAAGCGTTTTTCCCACCCTCTCGTTAATTAACTACCTAATTAATTAATTAATTAATTATAAATTTGCTGCTCGGCTACAAGTAAATAATAAATTATCTAGTGGAAGCATTTTAAAAAAAATCTATTAGTTTTAAGTGGAAAGATTGAAAACACTTTAACGAAAAAAAATTATAAAATAAAATAAAATAAAATAAAACCGAAAAGATTTTATCTGTCTGACACAAGACAACATACGCACGAACGTTTTGAAAATTTTTGTTATTTTTTCAGGCACGCACAGGCACGCACAGGCACACACACACACACACACACACATATTCAATCAAACAACATTTCATCTTGAATAATTATAATTATCGTTTGAAAATTAAATTAACACGCATACATATACAGGCACAAAATTTGTGCGCATACATATGCGTACGCGTATATATATATATATACAAGTGATGATTTTAGAATAAATTACAATTTAAAACAAAACAAAAACAAAAAAATTTTCGTGACGTAATTGTTTTCACTTTCCACTTTAAGCGATATATATATATACCTACTATCACAATAAATAATAATAATAATAATAATAATAATATTTCTTTTTTTCCTTTCTACAAAATCGCAACGAAACAATTTATACAAAAATAAAATGAAAATAAAATAAAAAAAAAAAATTGTGCCAAACAAACGATCGGTTGCCCATACTAACTAACAACAATTAAACTAATAAATTAACAAATAATCGATTATATCGATATCGATATCGATTCGATAATGAACGATAATGAAAATTTGTGCAAATTATAATAATAATAATAATAATAATATTTAATCCCGTTTTTCTTTTTTCTATTTTTTCTTTTCCTTTTTCTTTTGTTTTGCCTTCGTCAAACCGACCCGACAGAATTAAAATTATTTCCGCTTCCTGTTCCGTTCGTTTAATTTTTTTTTTTAAATAAAAATACTGAAAATAAATAATATCGATAAAAAATTATGATTGTTAATTAATTAATTAATTAATTAATTTTTTTTAAAAAAATCAATTGACACGTAATTTTTAAAAACTATTCATTTTCAAATTGTCATGCAACCTCATGACGACAGGCAAAAAAAAATTTATATAAATATATATACCGACCTACTACTTCCAATCTACCTTTGCTAAAAAAAAATAAAATGAATAAAAAAACAGCAGTGCCCCCCCCAACCCTACCTCTACCCCCCAACAAAAAAAAAATTATTTTTTGTTTCAAGGCTTGTTTGTAGCTAGCAGAGCGTACGTGATTTTAAAATAATTTTTAAAAAAAATTAATAATAATAATAATAATAATAATAGTAGTTAAGTGAAGAATAAAAAAAAAAAAAAAAGATAGAAAATTTAGTTTAGAAAATACGTGGGATTAAAATCTTGATTAACCACGGAAAATCCTTTAAATTCATCTTGATTTATGTCTCTCACGACATCGCTATTCGTGGGCGTCAAACAAGGTTCTTCTTTTGTAAATTCCGCATCGAAGTTCAACGCGTCCTTTTTGCTTTTCTACAATTAATAATAATAATGATGATAAAATAAATGACCATTTTCGTAAAATTCATTTTTTTTTTTTTTGGGGGTTTGAATTGACACGATTGAAAAACTTACAATTTTCGGTTTGAAAGGTGGTTTCACTCGTCTGGCTTCGAGTGCGTCCCAACTAATGTCCTTAAAAAAAGAATGATTGCGAATGGCGGCTTCTCCTCCCTGTGACGCCACACATCCGAGTCTCTTGCTCGGATTTTTCGTCATGAACTGTAATTAATAAAATACATTTTTAAATTACATAACATTAAAATTTTCCAAATTCGAAATTCATTCAAAAAAAAAAAATTAAAATAAAAAAAATACTGCAAGAGTTTTCTTTTTTTTTTTTCTTTTTTCATCCTCACACCTTTGCTGACACGTCGGGTCTTTTTTTTTTTCAATGTCACATCAGCTAAAAATATTTAACCGAAAACAAAGCAAAAAAAAGTGAAAAAAATGGATGTTCACGGTGGAGATTTGAGAGGAAGGAAATCGGATATAGGATATGACAGTCTGAAAAGATAATTGGTAAGTTTTAAAAGAGTTAGATGCAAAAATTTTAGAGAAAAAAAAAAAAAAAAAAAAAAAAAATGTCGGATGACGATGTTTGGAGTTTTCCCTTACCCCTTTTAGAATAGATACGCCTTCTTTAGAGAGCCAAACTGGATACAATACGTCGTCGTGCAAAATCGATTCGAATAAGTCGTCTTCATTATCGGCTTCGAAGGGTGGTTGTCCTGCCATCATTTCGTACATGAGAACTCCTAGTGCCCACCAGTCCACGCTCGGACCATACTCGAGCTCTTGCAGAATCTATAAGTTTATTAGTTTTAGTCGGAGTTATGGAATTCCCGCGCGGAGACTTTGATTTACAGAAATAATAATAATAATAATTTACCTCCGGTGCTATGTAGTCCGGAGTGCCGCAAAACGTTGTCGTTGTCGTTCCATCAATTATACCTTCCTTACACATTCCAAAATCGGCTAACTTACAATGTCCTTCGTTGTCTAATAAAATATTGTCTAATTTCAAATCCCTGCAAGAAAATTTTACGGTAAATTTTACAAGATTGTTTTTTTTGGCACTTATTGTAAAGTTAAAAAGAATTTTTACCTATAGATGATTCCGTGCCTATGCAAAAACTGCAATGCCAACGTGACTTCGGCAGCGTAAAATCTGGCACGAGATTCATCAAATTTTCTCGCTCTTTGAATTTGAAACATCAAATCTCCTCCGTTAACGTATTCCATAACGAAGAATAACCTGTCCTTTGTTTGAAAACAAGAATGTAAGGCCGTCAGGAATGGATGTTTAGCAGCCAACATTAAAATCCTTTTTTCCGTCATCGTGCAATCGACGTCGTCGTCTTGAATGATGACATCTTTTTTTAAGACCTGTCCATAAAAAAAAACAATAATTAACATTAATCATTGAATAAATAAACGTGATCAAGAAAATTCACATACCTTCACTGCATACACTTCATCCGTTCCTTTCTTTTCGGCCAACATAACTTTTCCAAAACTTCCTTTTCCTAAAACTTTTATGAAATGAAAATCATCCAAAGAGATTTTTTTACCAGTCCCGAATTCCAATTCTTTAACCGGATATTCGGACTGCTTATCAGATTCGGATGCGATTAAGGATTCCCGTGAAATTTTCTCAGGAGCTAATGATGTTGTCAACGACGAAGATGGAGATTCCGACTGTTGCATAGGCTGTAAATAAATTTTTAAGTAATTTTCAACATTCCTTTTCAAATCTTCCCCCCCCCCCCCGTGGTTCACTTACTTTACTTTTTCCAGGTTTGTTGGGATCTATGCCAATGAGTGACAAAATCTCAGCGAGTTGTTTTGTATTTAATCCGCAATTGTTCGCGACATTTTTCTGACATCTTTTATGTACATTCATATTGCAGGCTTCGCATTGCAAACCTTGACGAAAGAGTCCGTAGAGAAGAGAACCACAGTGATCGCAAAAGGTAAATCGTTTGTAATTGTGTACGGTAAATCTGTGGGGCATGTTAACATTGAACCGTTGCGTGATCTGTTAGAAAATCAAAATAATGTAAAATTAACATGAAAAAAAAAAAAACTATTGTTACACTCTTAACGAATGATTGTGAAACACAGACGCCATTTTTTTTTTTTTCCCTGCAGCAACTACTACCTCTTTCCACAAGCGTTTGAAACCTTACCAGGGAAAATTAAATAGGTAGAAACATTTTTTTTTTTTTTTAAAAAAGCACCCAATTTTTTTCCATAAATATTAGTTGTGAAATTAAAAACAAGTTTATTTTATAGAATACTAGTAAAAGTAATGATGTGTTTAAATGTAACGAACAAGGATTTTAATATAAAGTTAAAAAAGCAACCGTTTCCCAAACATGCATTCCATGAATACTCCAACATTGTGATGATACCCAAGAAAAAGAACAAGAATAAGAATAAATTTTACCAAGAGAATGAAAAGAACCATTCGATGAACCCTTTTGAAATAATAAATGATGAGTTAGTTTTTTTTTTTTTTTTAAATAATATTTTATTTATTTGTAAGCCATCACCATATTTGTCCATGCACCATCCCTTTCGAATAGTTTTTTTTTTTTTGGTTTAACCTCACAAACCTCATTATCACTACTTTTTCTACTGCGATTGCTGGAATTCCTACTGTCATTACTCGATTTAGAGCTGCCATAAGATGGAGTCAGCAAGTATGGACTGTGAGAATCGAATGAAGAACAACTATGAAATTCCTCTAATTCTTCCTCATCAGACGATGGGCAACAAACGTTCAAAAAATTTTTGTTTGGAAAACTGGAATTCTATCATCAATATTGAACCGTTACACATACATAAATTATTAATTGTAAATTCATTAAATAAAGAATTATGTTTAATTATAATCAAAAAAAAAAAAAAAAAAAAAAAAAAGTCCATTTAATGATGGGCATTAAAATGAAAGTTATTTTTATTTTATATATGAAGAACTTTTAAATAAGTGACTTATTAAATTATTTCATAAAACCATTCGACTAAAACTTTTTTTTTTTAATCTTTTTTAATCTTTTGGCAAGTTTAAAAATTACAAAAATATATGCCATTAAATAAGGACTTTTTGTTAACTCTTGTCTCTTTTAAAGTTAATTTTGAAACTGAAAATTATTTTCATCAAAATATTAATTTCGATATTTATTAAAATTCCGAAAACAAAAAACTCTAATAAAGGGAAATTATTATACATTTGTTTAAATGGAATAAAATACATTTATGACAAACAAATATGAAAAAACTTACCAATGTGAGTTTAAAATAAACATAAAATTTTAACTTATTTAAATATATATATAAAATAATTACAAAATTTTTTGAAACTTACCTCATCCTGAGTTGTATCTTTCATTCCAGGACATTTTGTCACAACTGACTGATGACATCTTTTGTGAACAACACATGTACAAACTAAAATAAAAAATTTTATAAATGTTTAATATTGTTTAAAGTAATAATATGAAAGACTTTAGGTTTCTTTTCTTACCTTGACATTGATATCCTTGTTTGCCGAGAACTCCCCTGAAATAGTGTTAAAAAATAATATCTCAACTTTGTACAAAGAAAAAAAGTAAAATGCATTTTAAATAAAAATTGTTACATGGTATATTACCAAATAAAATCGCGGCAATGAGAGCAAAAAGTTGGCTGCCTTAAATAGGTTGCCATAAATTTGTGCCCATTGACTTGGTGGACTCTCCTTCTCATAGCACCCCTTCTTCGATTGAACCCTTGTCTCTCCTTGAACACTTTGGGCTTTGTTGTCTGAGGTTCTTGGGCACTCCATTTTAAATCAATTCTTAATTTTAATCTACCCTGAGGTTCTAAATCCACCTAAAAGAAGTTATACACAGCAAACTTTTAATATATATATAATTTTAATATTGAACATCAAATTTATAAAAATAATTAGATGTAGATACAAGTACTTATGATAAGTAGAAATGAATGGTTGAATATTATTAAAATATAAAATAAATTTTACCCAAAATTCTCCAGCTTCACGATCTCTTTGAAGAAGATCTTCAAAGGATATATTGCAATTAGCCACAAAGTCATCTGGGGGGATGGCAGCATCGTGGAAGACGGTCAGGCCCAGGTTGACGGCGCTTTGGACATTATGTACAAAATGTTCGTTCCATACCGGGTCAGATGTCTTTGATTTCGTTGATGAACGATCTAAATGATTATCATCCACATCTATAGTTACGTACGGATCTATAGACTGCTCATCTGGCTTGCTGAAGGCCATATTATGCCTTTTCTGAAAATCTGTTGGTTTCAATCCGCAAGCCTCGCATATTTTAACCCGGACCGTTCCCGTGAACATTGGCGCTATCTGACCCGCAACCCGACCGTTTATATTCACGAGGCCTTTAAGGCCACTCTTTGAATACTAAGAGGGTCAACCCCGCCGAAAGTGCGATAAAATAATTGTAAATAACGAATCTACTACATCAGCCATGAAGGTCGATTTTAGGTAAAAATTCACTGCACTCTAATTAGCAGTCCATACTCCCACAATGCAATTCGCTAAACACCGATTCAATGATGGCGGTCATTGGTCGTTTCTGTTCAAATCACTGGTATGATAAACTGTTATCAAAACAATTATTTTGTCCAAGATTGCCGTAAGTAAAATTATAAATGATGCGTATTCAATTATAATTATTAAATATATTTTTTACTTAATTGCATTTAATTAAAGGACAAAAAAATAAATAACTCACTGCCTTAATAAATTATCACGAAAATAAGTTCAGAGTTTGGATTTCTCCTTCCAGCTCAACTACGTTTGCGCCAAGTATTTAAAATTATAATAAATATTTAAATAATATTTTATCATACTTTTAAAACAATATTAATAATGATATGTAATGCGTGTTAATGATGTTTATTTTTTTTGGCATTTAAGCTTTTTTTTTTTTTTTAATAAATCAGGAGACCCATTCTTCAAACAAGAAATCTGTTATTTATTAAAATTTTTTATCACCGTCATTTTTAATTTCAGCTACACGTCAGTGCCAGTTGGTAACGAAAACAAAACCAAAGAGGATGAACTACCCAAACAAACTTTAAATATTAGTGATAATTGTATAAAAAGACTTTCGGAAATAATCAATGATAACAGTTTTCTTAGAATCTATGTTGAAGGTGGAGGATGTTCAGGTTTTCAATATAAATTTGATTTAGACAAAGAATTAGAAAAAGAAGATATAGTTTTTAAAAAAGATGGATTTAAAGTTGTCGTAGATGAAAAATCTTTGGAGTACATTAAAGGATCAACAATCGATTATCAAACAGAACTTATTAGATCTGCTTTTCGAATTGTAGACAATCCACAAGCAGCACAGGGTTGTTCTTGTGGTGCTTCATTTAATATCAAAGTGGAATAATTCAAAAAAAAATTAGTCAATTTATATGAATATTATATTTTATTCGTTTTATCAAGTATTTGTTTACATAAAATTTTAGTGAGCTGTTTTCAATTTATTTAAATGATCCAAATTCAAAACAAAAAAAAAAAAAATTACAAGTTTTGATTATGTATCGCGAATACATTTTAAAATCATATTTAATAATAAATTATAATTTTTTAAACTTTTTTTTTTTTTCCCACCAAAGTAAAAATATTTCAAAAATTTATATTTAATAATAAATATATATATTAATAAATATTATTTTGCTATGTACAATTGTCTTATCTTTTTCTTTACATTTTATAATGATTAAATTGATTCTCGATAAATAATATGTAAATGATTATTCTTCTATTACAACAAAAAACTCGGATTAAACTTAATAATTTAAAAAAAAATTTTTTTTAAATAAAATATAAAAAATATTACATTTTCTAAAATGATTTAAATTTCTATATATGCTGATTTAAATATAATATTTTTATAAATAATTGTATATATATATATATATAATAAATGTATATATTTTTAAATAATAATTTTATGCTTTTATTTATTTCGTCTAAGTAAAGCTTGGTAAGTCGACAATTGTCATTTTAAGGCATGTCTTAAAACATACATTATTGTATTTGTTTTCCCTTTTTCCCTCCTTGAAACTGAAAAAAAACAAGAAAAAAACGTAATATACATAATAAAACATTAAAATTTCAATAGTTTTTACATAAATATATTTTAACATACTTTTTCTGTGAGTTCATGTTTAAGAATTTCTATTTCCTCTTGTTGAGATGCTAATTTTTCATTCATGTTTGCCATATGTTCAGACATTGACTGTAATTGTTCTTTATAATTTGAAGTCGTTGTTAAAAGTTCTTCTTTTAATCGGCTCACGTTATTCTGTGCTTCCGTCAGTGAATCTTCTAAGGATAACCTATTTTCCAAACTGTGCTCTAATCGTCTTTGAAGTGCTTCACACTGTATTTAAATAAAAATTTTTAACGATTAAAAAAAAGAAAGTCATGGTAAATACATTTAAAGGAAACGTCCTTACTTCATCTTTGAAAACTGTTACTTTGCTTTCTGCTAATTGTCTATCTGCCACTAATTTATTTGCTCTGGCGTTGAAATATTTTAAATATTCAGTTTCTTTATTTATCATTTCTGACACATCTCCGACATTGTCAAACTAAAATTGAATTATCGATTATTAAAACATTTTGAAAAATTTTTCACTGCATCAAATCACTGACACAAACCTGATCTTCTGATTGCTGAGTAACTTCTGACGGTGATTGAACTAAATAACTAGAATTAGTACTGCGAGGAGTGGTAGCTTCACTGAGGCAATAAATATGTTCTTCCAATTCTTTGATTTTCTAATTATCAAAAACGAAATAAAAACTATACTGTATACTTTCTCAAACATAAATTTCTTAATTTTTGGTTTTTTATGAAATATCATACCTTTGAATGAGCTGATTTAAGAGATTCAATTTCTTGTTTCCAATCCTCACAATTTTGTTGAGATTGAGATAAAGCAATTTTTTGTTTCATTTTGATTATTCTCGAGTCGAAAACTTGAATCAACATTGAAATGTTTTCTGTTAAATTTCTAAATATACCAGAGCACTGCAAACTTATATTCGATAATATATTTAATATTTCTTTCTCTGATTCGTTATGAATTTGAAAAGATTTGAATTTTTCATTCAAAGCACTTAAAAAATCTATTTAAAAAAAAAAAAAAAAAAAAGAAAGTTTTTTTAATCGAAACATTCATTTCGGATGATGACATGTGTTAATAATAAAAAATTACTTACAATCACAGGTATTTCTGAAAGAACGAAAAATATCAGAAATGTAGTTGGCAAGCTCATCACAATCTGATGAAGTCAATGCAGAGGAATCCAATTTTTTAAAACAAGAACTAAATTCAACCCAATATTTTCGAATATTATCAATTAATTCTTTTAGTACTGCAATAACATCTTTATCATTGCTGCAAAAAAAAAAAAAAAAAAAAAACAAAGATTTTTTTTATTATTAAATTTTAATAAATCATTATTTACATTTAAAAAAAATTTTAATTCTAAAATATTTACTTGCAAATTAAATTTTCAGTTAACTCGTTTAGTATTGACGAATACAAATCTAAACTTTCGCACAAATTTTCAAAAGTTACTGAAAAATCTTTATCGTTAATGTCTGCACTACTGTATAACAGATATTTATCACTAAAATCTTGTAATGTTAAACGATTTTTTTGATTTATTTCGGAGAATTTTTCAAATTGTTTATTCTCCATAATTTTATTATACCTAAGTTCAATTTGTAAAAAAAATTGACTTAATAACATGAATAAATTATTTAGAGAAAGACTATTAAATAATTTTGAAAATTGTTCTTTTAATGCAAAATCATCTATAATATTTTTTCCTATTAAATCATTTTTTAACTGTTTTATTTCACATTGATATTTATTAATTTCATCATCTTTGGCTTGTAATTTCGATATAAGAACTTTCGCTTCATTTTCATATTTTGCTAATTTTGTATTTTCAATCGCTGACAAATTTGATTGATATTCTTTTATTTTATGTTCACAGACTTCTAATTTTTGATTAAGCATAAATTTTTCTGTTTCATATTTTTCTGTTTGTTCATGCAACTGAAACATTAATCACTAATTTTATCACAAATTTATAGGTGAGCAAATAATCAAAACTTAAAATTACTCGTTTTATAACTGACCATTGAAACTAAATTAGCATTTTCTGTGATTTTTTTCTGTAACTCCTCCACAATAACTGAGTCTTTTGATTCCCTAACACCTTTCGATTTAGTCTTGGATGCAGTCTAAAAAAAATTACAATATAAATTTAAACTCTCAATTTTTTTTTTTTTTTTTGGGACATTGAAAAAAATTATTTATTTCATTTTTAACCTGAACTGAATCAAGATCTCCCTGTAATATTGTCACTCTCTTGGTAAGTTGTTGATTCCTAAAATTAAGACTATCTAATTCTTGCTCAGTTTTTCTCAAATTTTGTTCTTTTGCCCTTAATGTTTCTTTTAATTCAGCATTTTGACTTTGCTCATCAATAACAGCCTTTTTTAAAACTCCAACCTGAGCTCTCATCTAAGAATACGAATAAATAATTTCATTAGAAATAAATTATTAAAATTTTTTTTTAATCAGATATGCTGCTCCTTATCTAAAAAAAATTTCTTTGGGGATAATTTATATTTAATTATCTTTATTTAAGTAAAAATAATTTACACATGGCTAAATAACAGTAATTTGATAAATCACTTGAAATTAACACTTCAATTCCTTAATTAATATAAATCAGTTACTCATAATAATTAAATATTAAAATAAATAATAACAGAATCATCTTTATAATATCTGTCATGTTTGAAAGTACATAAAATACATTCCTCATTAAGTTTTCATTTTTTTTAAAAATTTTTAAATTATTTTAGTATTTAAATTTGAGTTAGTACTCTCAAATGACAATTAAAAAAAATTTGTCTTTTTTACCTTAGCATATTCGGATGCTAATTTTTGATACTTTGCGGGCAAATCTGAAGGTAATGATCCGCCTTCCATGATTTTTATCGATTTTAACTAAATTCATCGACATTAAATAATGATTTTGATATAATTTACATTAAAAAATTAAATAAAAATAAAAAAATATATTTAAAAAAAAAAAAAAAAACTGTATATTCAACTGATTGGTATTTAACGGCAACACTGTGAGCCCCAAATATTTGTCGTGGTTCTACTCACATCCCTGCTTGTCTATGGCTGTTGTCTGTTACAAGTGCAAATTGAAAATGAAACCGGTTTTTTGGAATTAAATTCACATTTGTATTCTTAAAAATATTCGAAGCTAACAAAATGGATAGAAGTGGATTAAATGATTCTGTATTACTTCCTAAAACTAGGTTTTCATTATCGTCTTTAAGAAAGGGAGGTTTGCTAAATGAGTCTAGGCGCCAAACGTGAGTTAACTTTGAATATTGTACTTTGCTTTTCGATGCAGGTACATTACTTATTTCGTTTTTATAATATTTTAGAAAATCCAGTATATCTGGTAAATCTATTCAGTCTAATCAAGTTATTCATAGATCAAATCTTCATGTTGTCGAAACTTTTGGTATGACACTCCCAGTTTTGGTTAGAGAAGCTTTAACTTTTTCAGACAGTAAGTAGAAAGTATTAGAAGTATTTTAAATGTACAGTGCCTCTATTATCACAAGTATTTTTTGCTTTTGAGCTTTTATAAAATTTTCTTAATGTTCTTTTCTAGGAAATGCTGCAGTTAGTGTTCGTGTATCTAATAGTGGTTGGGCTTGGTTCGTTTGTGGAAGGCGTTTATTGATTTGGCAATGCAAAGTTGATGAATCCTTACATGAGGATGGAAGAAGAAGATTTTTTAACAATCAATGTAGAGAACTAACATTGCCCTCAAGTGATTTAGCATATAAAGCTGAATTAGTTGTTGTGTATACTGCTCCAGAAAATCAAGTTAGTTTTTTTATGCACTTGAATGCTCAAAATGCAGCATTAAGATTAATGTTAAAATTTAAATTTTTTTATAGGTTCCATCTTGCATTGCAGTATCACCAGAAGGAATTATTAGGTATTGGCCAAGTATTACTCACGAAGGCTCTTCTGTAGAGGTCAACGCTGAGTTGCAGGGCCAAGAATGTGACTCTCTTACAGATATAAATCCAATAGGTTGTGTTTTAGCAACAACAACTGCCACAGTCATTTTGGTTCAGCCCCAAATGAGTTCAGGTCGCTTTAGTATTCTTTTCAGACCTTTTAAATTATCTCAAGGATGGCTGAAAGGCATTGGTCGTTTAATACCATCATTATTATTTGGCTCCATGCAATCTTGCCATATAATGGAAACTGTAAATATCTTTTGTAATAACTTAGTAAATTTTAAAAAATAAATATTTTTACCATAATAAAATTTTATAATTTTAGAAATTAGTCAAAATTACAGCAGTTAAAAACTTAGGACATGAACATTGCGAATGGCTACTCTATATATTAGCTGGCCACACACTACAAAAATGGATTTTAGTCGAAGGAGAATTAGAAAGGCTTGTATTTGAGTGTGATATTAATCAGTTAGCTACAGATGCTTTTCAAAAAACTATATGGGTGAGCATTAGTGTTTTATTTTGATTTAATGATAAATTATCAAAATGAAAAAGAAAATTTTATTTGCGCCTTGTTTTTTTTTTCCCCCTTTTTAGGAACCTTTCGGAGGAAATTCTAATGAAATTCAAGTTTGGCTTTTAGATATGCATCCTACTGAGGGAGGTGTTACCGTTCTTTTGGGTGGCACAAATCCACAAATTTCTCCACAATTTTATTACGCCTTAGGTATATTTATATTATCCAAAGTGATGAACTTATTTCAACAATTATTTAAAACTTTAATTAACGTTCACGTTGTGTTTTAGGTACACTTTTAACAAATTCCCTTGTTCAACCTTCAAAATTCGATCGTTTTTGCCCGTTAAAAAATACAAGTTTTTACAGAGAATCTGATGAACAAGAACTTTTGAGTTATAAATTTCTCGTAACCGGAGGAACTGCTTTTCTTTACAAGCCCAAAAGTATTTTAGCCGTGTCAGGTATTTTCAGATACTTAACTTTTGTAATATATTTTTTTTGGAAAAAAAAAAAAAAGACTTATAATTACGATGGTAATCTTGCAGCTGTAAACTTTGGCGAAGAGGCCGATAATATAGATTTCATTGGACAAAACGATCAAATTTTAGGGGGAGCTTTGTGTAAAGGAATTCCAGTATTTTTTTCAGTCGTGCACGGATTGGTTTCCGTATTACCATCAGAATCTTCTCGTCTTGAATTCAGCAACATGTACGTTTGAATGTTTATATTTTTTAAAAGAACACAAAAAATTTCCGTTTAATTTATTATTATTATTATTAATATGCAGGAGCATCAGCGATATAGCATCAGCAGATCCTTCAACGTCTGTTTTGGGTGAACAAATGAACATTGCAATAACCGATTTCGAATTGGAAGATTTATCTATGAGTAAAGATGGCGTCGTTCAATTGAAAGCTGCGTTCTTGTATTTTATCAGAAGAAATACAGTGAGTTTTGTGATGTGAAAAAAAAGAAAAAAAAATTTTGAAAATGTTTTTAAAATTTCTTTTTTTTCTGTTGCAGGAAACGGCAGAAAGTATTGTAAATTCTTTATTTCCTTACGAGGAAGAGCCAGCGAATGAAATCGATGCTCATTTGGACACGGTCGTGACTAAAGTTGCTTTGGATATAATTAACGACATACCTTCCGGGGATCCGAGATGGGCACCCATCAGATCATCCGAAATAACACTCGGAAGTTCTTCGTCTCTTCAAATTTTAAATCAATTGGAAGATAAGCAGCGTGCCTTGGAATGGTTTTTCTCCTTTTTAAAAGAAGTCAAAATATGGGAAAGGGTAAGGGTTCTGATCTACCTATTTGTATTTATTTATAAAAAATGAGTTTGAAGTACAAGCAGGAAATGGAATAATAATTTAATTTGGTTTTTTTTTTTTTTTTTTTATAAAAAAAAAAAAAAGTTATCGGCAGTAAGTCTTCGTGAAACGATAACGGCTACAACTCACGTCTTGGCGGAATACGCAGAAAAAATAATTAGTGCCATTGCGTTGAAAAATTTATTTTCAAAGTGAGTACATTGAGAATATTAACTAAGGGTAATTTAATTAAGCTCCTTTAATTGAAATTCGTTTAAACATTTTCCATTTTTTTTTTTTTTGCCATCAGTCACAGTTCGTTGATTGAACAGTGTATCAAACATGTCGTCGGCGATGAAAAACTCGTTCACGGTTTGACTCATCAAGATTTATTTTTTCGCGAAGTATCTCGCAGCGTGGAAGGTTTACAATTTTTCAGTCTTTGGTGTGACAATGTGGCACACAGTACTCGAAGACCCCAAGAAATAGCCATCGCATTGAGAGAAGCAAACACGATTTTTTTGGTAAAAACCCAAACGATATTATTCGTTTAAAAGGTGAAATTAAATTTCGCATAATGAAATTTGTTGTAATTTTTTTTAGAGCGTGTTGTTGGAAGTACTTCAGTGGCGAAAACAAAAGCTTGAATATTTCACTCCGAAAAATCCATTTCTCCCGAAATCTTGCGAATATTTACCCTGGACTTCGGCTCCTGGAAGCGAAGGATTGAGAGAAAGTTTAACACTTTTGGTACTCATAATGGATTTCACGTTAAATTTTCTTAGAATTTTTATCCGTTTTGGGTTTTGTTAATATTTTTTCCTTCTCGTTTAACTTTTAGCACGAGCTGACGTTTAAGTGTGGCGCTCGAGCTACAGGCGAGATAGAATTAAGGAATTGCTTGTACGAACAGTTGGTGAGCTTGACGGATATTTTATTGGATGGACGAAGAAGTCACGTGAACAGTGTCAAAGGAGGTGCGAAATTCGAAACTTTGCACCATCAATACGAAACTAGTCGTTCGGAATTAATCAAACCGTTTTGTAAGCGTTTGGTAACTTTATTTTAACATTAAATTTTAAAATTATTGATTGCATAAATTTGTTTTTTCAGTGGAAGATGGTCAATACGAACAAGCAGCCGTTTTGGCAGAGAAATATCACGATTTTCACACTTTAATACAGATATGTGAAAAAACTAATAACATGGATCGATTGGATAGTTACTGCGAAAAATTTTCCGAAGAGGTAGTAAAAAAAAAAACTAATTGAAAATAAAGGCTAGATTAAGAGCGTTTCAAGGCAAAAGTTATTTAAAATTTTTTCCATCGCGTTTTCAGAATTTTTCGCAATATTTATTCAATTGGTACATAAAAGAAAGGAAACCTGGGAGATTATTGCAACAGTTTCGCATGAGGTCGAAACCGTTAAAGCAAAAGAAAGAGCTGTCGCATTTTCTCAACGATCATCCGTCTTTGCAATGGTTGCAATGCATTTTTGCAGGACAGTACAAACAAGCGAGCAGCACTCTGCATCAGTTGGCAAAAGAAGAAGCTGAATCGCTCACGCGTAAAAAGGTTAAAACTTGCTTAAAAAAATTAATAATAATAATAATAATAATGATAAAAATAAGTTAAATAAATCGCGAAAAATTATTTCAGACCATGCTGTCGCTTGCAAAATTAGCTCTTTTAGCATCGGAGGAAGACGAAGTCGCTTCGGAAGAAAAACTGATGGAATTCGATTCAGAGTTGGAATTGGTGTCTCATCAAGAAGACCTTCCCACGAGCGTATTGAACACTTACGGATACGACATAACAAAATTGGGAGTTTTGACACCCGCGGAATTGATAAAAGTAAATTCGATTACATTTCTGCGTATATCTATCGATACGATCGATCGTTATTCAAATTATTTATTTCGATATTTTCAGTTGTACATCTGCGAGGAAAATGAAAACGTCACGGAAGTCGATTTTAAAAAAGCAATCGATCTTTTGGAATACATTGAAGATGATCTCGAAAGAAACGAATTGAGGTGTGAATGATTTAATGATTTCCCCCTCCTCCCCTCCTCCCCTCACCCCCGTTCGAATCGAAATCATAATTGATTGTTTTCGTTTTGCAGACATGCCATTTGGTGCAACGCCATACTCAGAGATAATTGGAAAGACGTGGATCCAGATTCGTCGATAGAAAACATATTGAATTTATTTTTCTTCAAATTGGTGGATATCGTCGAATTCATGGGCAAGTATTCACCTCCTATTTTTTTTTTTTTTTTTTTTTATTGTTCCTTTATTATTATTATTTAAATAATAATAATAATAAATAATGGTTTTGAGAATTATTTTAGGCGGAGAAGAATTTTTACCATCCATCGAATCTCTACTAGAAGCACAAGAATTGAACGAAATGAAAAACGATCGTCATTTTCAATATTTGATAAGAGTGGGTTACGAACATTTTCAAAAGGCTTCGGGTTGCAACGATCAGTACAATCATCTGACGACGTAAAGAGGAAAAATTTGGGATTCGTTTTAACGACATTATTTTGAAAAGTTTGCATCGATGTAAACAAACAAACAAACAACAAAAGTGAAAAGTTTTTACGGAGTGTTATGAAAATTTCGTCGTAGTAATTCAATGGAAACAACAAATTTTGTCGAGAGAGAGGGTTTATTGTCAGATTACAAATTGACAAAATGGCGTAAAACTTTAGATTTATTGGAAAAAAGAATTTCTTTAATTTAGCTTCCAAAACGACTGATGATAAATAAATAAATAAATAAATAAATAAATATAAAATAAAAGGCCTTAAATAAGTTTTATAAGAATCACTGCCATTTTTTTTTTTTTTTTTTTTTTTTTTTTTGATAATTAATTATTATTGATTAAGAATTGATCCAAATAACAAACGAATAAATTTATTGAAAATTATTTGATAAAAAAAAAAATTTGATTAATTGTAGTTAATTGAAATAATGTATAATGTATCATTAATAGGTAGTTTTTTTTCGATTAAAATTTGAATTTGGACGAGTGAGATGTTATACAAACAAACAAACAAAATGAAATTAGTAATTTGTTTATAGAAAAACATATGATTTACTTATATATAAAAAAAAAAAAATCGATTGTTTGCTCATTGTTTTAAAAAATTTTTCTCTCATGGTTGTACATAAATATAATAATACATGTTAATTTTACGATTAAATTGTAAATTTTTTCCAATTATGTGAAAACATTTGTAAAAATATTATTACACGATTGAAAATAATAATAATAATAATAATCAAATCAAATTAATAAGAAAAGAAAGGAAAAAAAAAATTTTTTTAAATATTTTTGAAAAATAAAAGAAATTGTATTTGAATTTATTATTATAATTAATTAAATTTTAACATCCTTTTAATAAATATATATTTTCTTTTGTTTAAATAAAAAAAAAACCGTTAAAAGGGGTATTGTGTATACTACTTACACATCTTCTTTTATTTATTTTATTGATATAATTCGTTGTCTGATTTGTTTACTTATTCGTATTAGAATTCGTTATTAAAAGTATAATTAATCATCATTCCTTTAAAAAAATATCATCGTTTAATTATCGACCTTTGAACTTATAAAAAAAAAAAAAAACCAATAAACATGTTATTAAACGCACAAGATCATCCGTATTAATTTCAGTGTCAACCGATAGCCTCCATTAACCAAAAAAAAAAAACAATTATTACATTTTCAATTTTTAACTTGTTTTAATTCAATTAAATAAAAATTAATTATTTTATAAATCAAACGTTACATAAACTTAAAAAAAAAACACAAAAATAAAAATTATATTCGTTAATGTTCGACATTTTATTTTTTTCAATACGGTAAACAAAAGATGGTTACTTAACGGAAAGAGAAAATTGTCGAATAAATTAAATCCGCGTATTAAATATAAATAAAACGATTTAGACGTTGTCGTAACGTGAGCGAAACACGTCATTTAAAAATCGTTGTAAAAAAAAGTATCAAATTACGTCACGATAATTTCAAATTCGCAATTCGAATGTCGCCATTTTTATTAAGTAGCAAAGTAGTGTTTTATTTTACAAGTGAAATTTAAAATTAAAAAATTATAATTAATGTGAATAAATAGTGAGTGTAAATAGTTTAATAGTTTAATTATTGTGCGTGGGTGCGTGTACGTGTTCGTGTGCGTGCGTGGTATTAGTGTTTATTAGTGTTTGTTTAAAAATTTTGTTCTAAAATTATTTGCTATAGAATATAATTAAGGATTTGTTTAAGGTAAGAATATTAATACCTTAATAATACTTTTAATTACGATAAACTTTTAATATTTTCTTATCGTTTGCCGTTGTAAAAATGCTTACACGTATAAAAATTATCTTTATTCATTTTAATACTTGATATTATCAAAATGAGAAATCCCATACTCACTTCTCCTTTTTAAAATTTTTTTTTTAATATGTAAAATCGTTGAATTCAAAAATTCAAAATGTCGTCGTAAAAATCATGGTAGCAAATATGTTGGAAAATTCGATACATTTCTTATTATTTTTTTTTTTTGCTAACTTTCTATCCGTGTTTTTTTTTTTTTTGATTTTATAGTGAATTAAAATTTCAAAAGTTTTTATGTGAAAAAAAAAAAAAAATTTATTTTTTTATTTTATTTTATTTTACGACTTTAAATCTTTTCCTTTTTTTTTTTTTTTTTTTTTTAAAAAAAACGTTTTATTTAATATTCCAACCAGATAAATTTTTTTTTTTTTTTTTTTTTCCCTTAAGTTTTGAACTTATAATGTCAAATACTATAAAGTAAATTTTAAAGTCAATTTCTTTTCTTTTTTCTTTTTCTTTTTTTCTTTTTCTTTCTTTATTTCTGTCAATAAAAAAAAAAAACGTTTTAATTATTCGAATACGTTATAGAAAAAAAAGTTTGGATAAAAAAATTATTTAACGTTTCTGTGCCATTTATTATTATTATTATCGTTTTACATATCAACGCGTACGAATGAATGTAATTATTATTATTATTATTATACTTAATAATATTTATTTAAAAAACGGCCGATTTTATTATCTGATTATCATTATTATTATTATCGTTACAAATTAACGAGTGTATATATAGTTGTAAAATTTTTTTTTTTTTCCCTGCACCCACCCACTTTCCCCTTTTTTTCCCTGCACTCATTTTCCCTGCTACATTTTTTCCCCTACCCCAACTACGTCATCATCACAAACAACAAAATATTCCACTAAATAAAAATGAACGTTACGAAAAAAAAAAAAAATTTATTTAAAAAAAAAAAAAAAAAAAAGGGAAAAATTGAAATAAGCTTGCGCCGAACGCAAACGAAACGTTTTCAGTTCCCATTGGGAACGGGTTGCGAACGGATTCGGGTTTTTCGGGAAAATCCCCGTTATGATTTTTCCACCAAAAAAAAAAAAAAACAAATTCATTAATAAAATATATATTTAGTACGATAATTTCGGATTTTTTTTTGCGCGTATCGTTCGTATCGTTCTTACCGTAAAACAAAAAATAATAAATTTTATATGTATTATTATTATTATTATTATTATCGTGCCTGATTTAACGATATACAATTTGTCGGAATAAAAAAAATTTAAAATTTTAAAAAGTAAGTTGAAACTTTTTTTTTTTTTTGTGGGCGTGTAGGAGGAGGAGGAGGAGAGGGTTTACTTGTTCAGTTAATAATTTTAAACGTTTAAGAAAAAGTTTAAATAAATTTATTATTATTATTATTATTATTATAACGATTATTACTTTTAAAAAATTTTTTGTGTATTAACAATTATCGATAGGGAATCATTTTTTTTAAAAAATGAAAATAATTTTATTATTCGGTAATTAATTAATTTGTGGAAATGATAACGTGTCAAAGATAAATTTTCCGATGAGAAAATTCTATTATTAAAATTTTCCAAAGAGAAAAAAAAAACTTGTGTGAATGATAGGAGAAAGAAAAAAAAATATGGCGAAACTTAGGCGAAAACAGTTTATGTTTGATACATGTGGCGAAATCTATACGTAAAAAAATTAAACTAAACAACACTAACCTTTTGTTACGTGCCGTTTTTTTCCCCTCCTTGTTTTTTTTTTTTTTTAATTTAATAATTATAATAATAATAATGATAAAAACGATTTCAAATTGATTTTAATAATTAAATAAATAATATATATAAATAATTGATTAAGTACCAAGGGAAAATTAATTGTTATTTATTTATAAAAAAAAAAAAAACAACAAAAGAATGTTTTTCCTTTTATGTAAACGAAAACAAAGGAAATTCATTGAAAAAAAAATAAAATAAAATAAAAAACAATGAATTACTTTCTAAAAAGATTTTCTCTTTCTCTCTCTCTCTCTCTCTCTTAAGCTTTGATGTCAAATCCTTTTTATATTTTTTAGACTTTTCTTTTTAAGAATAGATTTTTTTTTTTTTTCTATGACGGAAAAAATAATAGATTTTCTTTAAAAACATTTTTTTTTTTTTACCTTTAAAATACTTTCGAAGTGAATTTACTTAAAGTAGAAAGAAACCGATTCTCATCATCCTTTTTTTTTTTTTTTTTTTGTTAAAATTTTTTTAGATTTGTTACGCAAAAAAAATATCGATTAATCGATTAATCGTTTTTTTCGTTTTTTTTTTAATATCGAATAATTAAAAACCCAAAAAAAATGGAGTTAAAAATGTTTTTACATAATGTGCGTAAAGTTTATGTGTTAAATTAATGTTTTCGCACACATAAAAACATCGTTTTACATAGTGTAAATATAAATATAAATTTTCAATTTAAAATATATAAGTTTTTAACTTTTAACTGAAACCCCCCAAGCTCCCCCATTGCCCCCCAGCCCCCTCTTTACAACTATTCGAGGAGAAAAAATTAATGTTTTTATAACGTTTTGTTTAATATTAAACTACGACGAGTACCACAACCAAAATTATTATCATTATCATTTTGTTTGTACGTAATGCAGATAAATTTATTTATAATAAAATATATAAGCCCCCCCTCCTGTTCTCGCCCCCCACAAGAGAAAAAATTAATGTTTTTTATAACGTTTTGTTTAATATTAAACTACGATGAGTACCACAACCGAAATTGTTATCATTATTATTTTGTTTATATATTATAGGAAGATAAACTTATATATTTTTTTAATATATATATATTATAAACAAGTTTTTATTATTATTATTATTATTATTACGAATCGATAAATTTTATTTTTTTTATAAAACTTATATACGAGAAACACTTTTCGGGTTATAAGTTATAAAAAAAAAAAAGTTTCAAAATGAAAACTTTTATAAAAAAATTTTATGATATAAAAAATTTACTTATATATATATTAAAAAGTATAAAAGTTATGCTTTTATTATCATTATTATTATTATTATTATTAATTTTGTTATTCTAAAAAAAAAAAAAAAAAAAAATAAGCAATCGATCACTCGGTGACAAAAAAAAA